ATTCAAAATTTCTAAATAGGTTCGAAGTTTGAATCGAATATTTAAATGATCGACCTACCATTTAAAAGTAGGTTATAATCAATTATTATTCCAAACTAAATGATTATTCATATTGTTTTATAGTTCTAAAAAGTATATTAAATAAAAAATAAAGTCCAACTATGAGTTTACTGTCAAGAATATGTAAGATCGGCAGAATAGAATACAAACAATTGACGACACGACACGGGCACGGCAGCTCAGATGAGTCGAATCCTAATCTATTCTTAGGGTTCGACCCTGAGAATAGATTCGGATTTGAGATTCGATTAACGAGATTCGAGAATCGCTCACAGAATACACAGACTCGCCACCAGCTCTATATATAATAACTAATAACGTTAAAAGGGGGTTCGGTACCCCCTATGTTAGCAATGTTAACATAATGTACCTTTTCTCAAAAACCATAGCAACTATGACAATGCAATTTTTGTTAGTTGTTTATGGTAACCTTAGCAACAATTTAACACAGGGATTTTAAAATGTATAAACTTTTAGGTATTAAAAAAATTTTTTTGGAAAACATAAAAAATGTCATGAAATTTACTAATTAGGCATTCCTAAAATCAGTTAAAATCTAACTAGAACAAAACCCATGTGTTAAAATTATCTGTTACACCTAATAAATAAGTGGTTAAAATTTCAGGGCTCTAGCTTTAATAGTTCCTGAGAAAAGATACATTTTATATAAAAAAACAAAACTTTCGGAAAAACGAGTTTAAACTTACAGTAAATGGTAGTTAGTACATTCCTGAAGCATAAGAAGGTCCTGCTTTGCTATCCTCAACATCAAACTCATCTTCAAGCTTTCTTTTGGCAATCTCCTTACTATGTCTGATCTTCTTTTGGATTTCTTGAGCTTCTCGGTCACTTTTCGCGATACGCACCATGTCCAAGTATTTTAATATTTTGCAGCAATTAGTGCCGGGGCCATTCCTAACTTTCTTAAAACAAAACATTTGGCAATATTCCCTTCATTAAAGTATGCCACTGCATCAAAAACCCCTAGTTCTAGAGTGTTAAGGGCCACAAAATTAATTTTGGGTAGTCGGCTCCAGATAATATTATTTACCGATTCATTCGGATTCTGGGTTTTGCCATGCAAGCACTTGCGAAGAAGGTCCTTATTACTCAGGTCCCTGAAAATGTCCTTTAATTCTAACATAGTGTATTCTGGCAAATGAAAATGTTTACTGTGGTCATATGGAGTTCCTGAAGCTACTGACTTTTTATACTTGCACCATGAGTTTTCAGGACAGAGGCCATGCTGCGGTTTTTCATTGCTACTCTGTAAGTGGAAATATTCCGCCCAAACATCCCTTCGCATTGCTTCTAAATTGTTAGGGTTACGTCTGATGGCAAGGCCATAATATTTTTGTATCTTTAAAATGTCTGCATCAGTTAATTTAAATTCAGCTTCCTTTTTCTTATTTTCCTTTTTCTTTGCTGGTTTACCTTCCGCCGACTTCTTTTCTTCATCTGCTTTCTTCTTTTCTGCCATCTTCTGTGCTGTCTTCTTCTTTTTTAAATCCATTAATCTTCTTCCCTTTCTTTTTTGCACATGTCCAATGCACTCTAGTTTTTTTTAATTCAATGTCCTGGCCATAAATATGTAAGTCTGCTACTTGTTGAAAAGATTTTGAGTCACCGTCACCTAAGTAATATTCATATCGCACATCGCGTTCAAGAGATCGTTCAAATATTTCTTTCACCCCACTTATGTCCATTCCTCCACTAACACCTATGTAGTTTGCATAGCATTTTTCTTCATGCTTATTACTATATTTATCCTTACATCTACAGAACTTAGATCTAACCGCTACGTTTATAACTTTTCCTGTGTCAAAGCTAGTGGCTGAGACAACGCCGTTGAGGGACGTGTGCCCACGTTTTTGCCAAGACCCATCTAATGCTATGCTTAGGTCACTGTTCCCATCATTTTTCTCCACAGCTTCTTTTAGGGCATTGTCCATTGAAGTTTTAGCTACATTACTAACAGCTTTTCCAATTACATCTACATATGGAGAAAATCTAGTCGGCGGAGGAGGAAGATTCATTACTCCGGCTAACGTTTTGCCGGCAGTAGGTCCTTTGCCAATGGTGCGAAGACCATACACATATCTTATGTTAATATCAAACAAATGTTTTGGTTTATTTAAATTAGATAGGCCTACTGGTACTTGAGGTGATGAAAAGAATTTGCTTTTGTCATCACAGTTTGTACAACTTACAACTATTTCGTAGGCTAAGCCGAACTGTCGCTCAAAATTTATTGTGAGATTACTACCACAGGTCTGACAGGCTCCAAACTTGCAAAACATTTCCTTGAAGACACTTGTGTCTATTATCAGGTTGAACTCATTGGAATGGTACTCACTATATCTATCTAAATTAGGAGTTATTTTAGTATTTGAAGCCCCTTTACTAAGTTCGGGTTCAGGGTTAGGCCTTGGATTAGGGGAATGTTCAGTTGTGTTGCCTACAGGACACTTAGGTTTCCCAACTAGCCTACGTTTTTTGAACACTTTGGGAACTGTAGATCTCGGCATTGTTACTATAGGCCTAAATCACTAAAAACTATTTCACATAAAACACAACAAACTGAACTAAACTTATTCACATAAGCAAATTTTACTCACAACACTGGTAAGAAAGTAAACAAACAACAATAAAAACAAAGGCTATGTCCAGCTGGCAGGATTGTCAAGCTGTCTTTAAAAGCATGGTGACCAACATAGGAAAATAAAATCAATAATCAATAAGTAATGTTCAGTCATTGACACTTTATGTATGAACATGCAATATTTTATCTCACTTTTGGAGCTAAAACCTGAGTGCTGCATTATTTTTGAAAAATTTTATCTATTGTTTATAAGGCAACAACCCTTATAAGTTATATGTTTCTGAAATCAGAAAAAAACCGAGAATAATATAAAAATATATTTTTTTTTTAAATTTTGAGGTACCGAACCCCCTTGGAACAGCACAGCAGTTAGCAGTGTCAAACTACGCCTAGCTGGAAAAAATCCGAACTCGGTCTCAAAACTTAAGGCCATGGCTTGAATTACGTCTTAGTCGAGTATTAATTGTATTTTAATAGGGATTCAATACCAGTTCTGAAATATTACTCACAATTCTTGATATCGATTCCATATAAAAACTCATATTTAAGGAAGTTGCCTTGGTCAATGTTTTGTTGTTAGTTTAAATTCGGAATAATCAGACAACCGGCGTAGTTCATGCCGGCCCAAAATTATCGTGCCCTCTCAGTTATTTATCGTATCTGAGTGTGATAAGTAAACGGAATCAGGGAACCGCTCTTGCTTTTTACAAAACAAAATAGTCGTAGACTGAAAACATCCAAATGGAGGTAGCACTGGCACAGAAACTCTGCTAGAAAATCGAGACACTGTAAAATATTATGTTGGTACCACTAGAAGAATCAACCAGCTCATTGGCTGTTGGCAATTGCAATGCCATAGTTCCAAAGTACTATTCCCCTAGTAAATATGGCAGCCAACGTCTCCCAATTCTCGCATTCAGTGCTACCTTCGGTTGTAGCTCTAGTTCAGTGCGAGCAACTATTGCCGCCATTGCGGGTATCGACTTAACCTTGATCGCAATAAGTATTTGTCTTTGTTCGTGAGTGTGTGTAGACAGACACAAAGACTGAAACTAAGAAGACTCAGACGGCATGACAATTCAGACAATACTCAATACGATTCCCAATCGACACTTGACTGTGGATTGAATTGATGTTTAGTATTTATTTAATATGTTTTTTTTTTTATTTGATTAACAGAGTATACTATTGTATCGATTAACAAATTTGAAATCACCAAAGTGTACCTACAACAACCATAAACTAGACACGAAAAAACGAGCTTCATAATTTACAATGGGATGAGAAGGCTACTTGTGTTGTTTAGTCTATGGTTCAATCAGCTTACTTGGAAAGTAAAACAACTGTGTAAAACCCTATTTCGTTTGCTTTAAATAACATTTGACTTTAAAAAAAGGCGTGGTATAGGCCTACATTTTTGTCGTGGTAAAAAGTAGGCCTACCGATACAATTTTTTTGTCACACAATCGGTACTTTCTTCTTGATCTTACTCCAAATTTAGCTATATTTCAACATCGGTGATATTTTTTCTTTTCCTTCACTCATCTAAAATAACATACCGGTAGCATTTTTTAACGCACATTTTTGGACTTGGACGACTGGTTTTGGCTGTGGTATGGTACAAGTAGGTGCCTATTACCTAACGTAAAATGATGTTATGGTTGAGGAAGTAAGGTTTAAATAGACAAAAAAAATCATTTTCATTTTATGCTATGGAGGTTGGGTATGTTTTATTTCTTGATTTACGGCAGGGAAATCTGTTCTACAGTACAATACAACAGTAAATGACAGATCATTATTTAATTTTTCAGAATACAGAATTTTAACAGAAAATTTAAAAACCACCATCTACAAATCTCGCTATACCAAGGCCTGAGTCATGAATGATACATATTATTAATGGTAAGGGGAAAAGGAAACGGTGATATAAATAAGTTAACACAATCATATAACTTTTAATTTTGTATTACATAAATTATAGATTTTCTAGGCTTACATTGTATTATACTTACATAACATGAAGTTGATCTCAAACTCAATTGAACTTAAAAACTCTTCGATTGAATATTCGCTCGTAAATATTCGATATTAGGAATAGTAAAAATATATTTGATTTGATTCTAAATCCAACCTAAAAATCACAATTCGCACACCCCTACTTATGGCATGATATTTCATCAAGAAATTGTGTTACTTATAGGTTATCAATCTAGACCAGGTTATGTGAAGGTCTGTTGAGACAGAATAATGTGATACAATATTTGAGCTGTCAAGATAAAATAGATTTAGGGACACATTGGCTCTTATATGTTTTATAGCTACTTATGTTGTCTAATAGGAGCTGGAGATGGTTGCGACCAAATATGAGCAAACAGAGAGGGTCCAAGTAGTCTACACACAAGCAGGATCTTATCTGCTCTTCATCAAGAAGGATTTTGTGGGTGCATTGAAATACTATTTGAAGGTGATTGAAATGGACAAAATGTCATATGCCATGAAGGTAGGTTTTTATGTGTACATTTTCCATAAATAAATTAATTAAATGAGTGTAGCAACATAAAGGTATGCTAGGGAGGCGCATTTCACCCTCAAAATACTGTTTAATACTTTAAGAATAATACTTTACTGTGTAATGTTTAGGATAAATAGAAACATATCACTTTCAATATTGTAGCAACTGTAAAAAAAAACTATTTTCAGTTTTTTCCTTTTAGCGAATTTCCCATATAGGGAATAAGCTATTAGCGTAGTACTCATGGTAAGACCTGGACGCGGGACCGATTTTTTTTTTCGTTTTGAGGTCCCTAGAGGCCAAAAACACCATCCGTTCAAATTCATATATATATATATATTTATATATATATATATGTGTCCGTTAGCACGATAACTCGAGCAAAAATGATCCGGATGAAATTTGGTACAAACGTGTAAACCTACGTTTATTCGAACGAGTTCGCGATCCAGCATGATCGGACCATGGGAACGGGGGTTTACGGGGGGTTTTATGGGGTAAAAATAGGTTTTTCCCATTTTTGACCCAAAAAAACATCAAATTTAGCAATTTCTTTCCAAACCATTTTGTAGAGCTTAAAAAAACAAATAATTTAGTATATTGAAGCGTTATCATGCGCCTAATAGTTACGGAGAAAATTCAAAAAAATTTTAAATTTAAAATTCCAATGTTATTCTTATGGAGAATAAGTAAACTGTTGTAGTTTGCTTGTTTATGAACATATTTTAATCAAATTTGGAAAACGGTTTTATTTCTTACTACCTATTAAGATTTTACAAAAAAAAAAAAACAGTTTTACCCTCCCTGATGCAGCAAACCTAAGTACTTGTTAAACTAATCCTATTTAAATCGGGAATTTAAATGTTATATTTTTAAGTAGACATTTCAGTGTAAATCAAATCAGTCAAATGGAAATTCGCTTAGTCTGCAGGTTTGCTGCGGCGGGGGTATTTTTATTTAAGATTGTCTCCTCTTTCAAGTTCTATGCATTATGCATTATATAAACACATTAAATAAATTCTATATAAAAATTAAATAAATATCTTGCAAACAAATATAAAAAAAATATTGTTTTTAAATAGAGGTGTGCCAGCCTGTGATTTTTGTCAAGACCATTCATTGGCAATCACATCATCCTTATAACCATAAAATGATGCTTATAATAGTTGTGTACACCGCCTACTCTCTATCCCATTGACCCCGACTGATTACAACAATGATAATGAACAATTTTTACATCTTTAAACACAGCACAGTCACTAATGGTTACAATATTTCTCTAATCGTCAAACTGATAAATAAACCGAAAAATTAAACCAAAATAACAAAAGATATATCAGTGCCAATTATGGTGTTGGTATTAAATTACTCCTTAACAAATGAACTGGCTAAAAATGATGTCATAGTAGCCTTCAAAACAAATAACTGATAAGATGCTGTCGTCAGACACTTCAGTCCAGGGAATAAATACATTGAATCCGCGTCATTTGCTTCGTTGGTTTTTAAACACAAACACACATTCAATATACGACACATACAGATACAACATAAATAATTTTTGTATAGAAATAGGCCTTTCCAGGAAACAAAGCATTGCCGGAACGCGAGCAGGTATAAACTGCCAGACAATCCGACAGCTACCGACAGTCTGTCTCGGATTAGTTGTCTCGGATTAGTTCCTGCTTCTGTACTGGCAATGTTGTATTTCCCGAATAGCCTTAGTCTCAATACAGTTGTTGTGAGAAAGTATAAGTTGCTCTTGCAGACTTGTCGAGCTTCAAAAAAATCTTCCACTGACACATTAGTCAATTATGCCATGTTACGATGAATGGCAAGAACACAATCTGACACTAACAAAGGAAGAACTAAGAAACCTAGATCTCAGGTTAAACTGTCCAAAGTTAAAGGACATGCTGCATCCAGATAACTGGTTAATTGGAAATCGAAAGTGAGTTTTGATTACTGAAAAAAGTCAGGGAATTTAGTCTTTAACCGGGAATTTTTATGGAGTGTCTTTAAAGTAAAAAAATGGTGACTGTGGAAAATGATATAGAAGTTACTGTTATTGGGGTTGATGATTACGGATATTGCCACAGTTGCGGAGAAACTTTTGATGTGACCATTATTGTGTATGGCCTCTTACTAGCTTTTATACATACAAGACACAAGTTGAATCTAGCCAATGGGAATTGCAATTAACTGTCATTTTTTTACCATTTATAAGGATTTTAAGTTAATTTTTATTTATTTGTTTCAGTCTCACAAGCCACTCTTCCTGCGTTTAAAAAATCCAGTGAATATGTTTCAAATCTTGATAAATGAATTGGCAGCTGAAAAAACTGATTGGCGTAGTTTTTCACCTGAAGAGAGGAAAGTTTTAAAAGATGTTAGAATAAAACTGATGGATTACAAACCACCTGAAGGTGCAACGGGACCAACAACTGTGGAGGAAGTGCTGAAAAAAGCAGAGGAACATATGCTTCCAAGAAAAAGGAAACAGAAAAGAAAACAGAAATCAGGTAAAAAGTGGTGTGGAAAAAAAAAATCTGTAGCTAAAGCTAAAGTGAAAAAAGACTTTTGTGATGGTGAAAAATTAAATCCTAAATTTATAAACAATTCAAGAAGCCCTGTCAGTGAGAACAGAAATTTAAATACTCAGAATAATCATAAAAGATATAGTATCAGCAGTTGTAGTTCTGTTGATAGTAGTTATCTTCGAGATAGCACAACATTCGGACCTAGAGCATCTTGTCTGCAGACTAGTAATGAGAATTTATATGGTGCCCAAAGTGAAAGAACTTTGGACCAAAAATTTTCAAGGGAGTCAGGAGATTTAAATGGGAAACGTTACTATGAAAACAGAAAATTTTCAAGAGATTTGAGCAATTCGAGTAGATCTAGTATCAATTCAGTCCACAGTGGTTTTGTTTGTCGCCCCGAGAAATTAAATAATTGGATACCTAGTCCTGCAAAATCCACAGAGGGAAGTCTGCTAACAGCTGACAACGTAAACAAGTTTGAACAGTCATATGACAAAAGTATTCGGAGTTTAAGTCAGTTGTCATTAACTGATTCATTGTATAATGAGGTACAAACTCCTAACTCCACAGAAGGAAGTCTGCTAACAGCTGACGACGTAAACAAGTTTGAAAAGGCATGTGATAACAGTATTCGGAGGTTAAGTCAGTTGTCATTGACTGATTCATTACATAATGAGGCACAAAGTGCTGCAAACTCCACAGAAGAAAGTCTGTTAACAGCTGACAACGTTACAAAGTTTGAACAGTCATATGGTAACAGTATTCGGAGGTTAAGTATGTTATCAATTTCTGATGTTAGTGTAGGTAGCCAAGATAGCATAAGTACTTTGTCCGTGATGGATAGAGTCAAACAAAGTTATGCAATGCTTGGCCGTAATAATGAACGACAAAGTAATGCTAAGAAAAACAAAAACTTTAACAAGTTTGGTAGTACTCAAAGTTTGAATTTGCAGAAATCTGATGATTGCAAGAGGAATTTGGGAAGTAGTGGAAGTCTTAACAAATTTGAAGATAGCAATCTTAAAAGAAGATTGAATTCACGAGATTCTAGTGTTGAAAGTACTAGATCCTTCTCATTTATGCCTTCTTTTGCTAAGAAAAAATCTGAAAGTGATTTGTAGCCAATAAGTCGGTATCTGTTAAGTAAGAGGTTGAATGTCATTATGCCTTGTTGTCCGGTAATATAATAATTTCCATTTTAGATTTTAGATGCCCATTTAAAGGGGTAATTTTATGTTATTTAAAATATTTTAATAAATTGTTTTTAGGCTTTTCTTGGAATGATTCATTTTACCTGTACAATGCAAGGCAAGGCACACATTATAGACTGGAGCTGTAATATTAAAGTTTCACCAAAATATTTCATTTTTTTCTTATACCTTCTCAATTTGGTTTACCAATTAATTGTTTATAAATAGGTAAAACCCATCAAAATAGACTGTTACTTTTAAGGGTTCACACCAATTCAGCTAAATACAACTGATAGAGTAAAATTTTTTTAAATATTGAACATTCAACTTTATTTTGAGGAAAATAATAATAATAACAAGCTGTTGCCCCGTCCTACGTATGGGATTGAGAAATATCATGTACACATTGTTATTTTCCTATTCTTTCCTCAAAAAGTCGAACAGAAAAATAATTAGCATACGCTTTCCCTTGAAGACTCGGGGCCAGAACCTCGATTTGTATTCATCAGTGGTTATAAAATCTTACTTATTTCCCATAATCAATGGCAAAATCACAGAATAATAAACTAACCTGATAGTTCTAAAGAATATTTTTATATTCAACCAGCTGTCAGTTAAAACAAATTATATTCCACAAAAAAAAAACTTAAAATTTTAAAGATTGCTCTAAAAAATAAAGTAGAACGTCTAGCATTTTACCATGTATATTTAAATAGTCTGAAATCCTCTTAACCAATAAATGAACGTATCAATGAGTATAGCATTACACATAGTATAAATAAGTCAACCCTATGCATGTCATTATTATCCAAACTAGGTGAAACTAGGTCAAGGCGAGCTGTCCGGTGTGTGGGAACTGTTTATGACGGTTAGATTAAGGTATATGGAATCCTAAAATGCTATTGGAACGGAAGGAAACAGATCCGCGGCGTAGGAAGTGGTGATTTAAATAGTAAAGGCGAGCTGTTTGGGGTATGGGATCTGTGTTTGACCATTAGATTAAGGTATTTGCAATCCTATGATGCTATGAGAGGGAAGGAAACAGGTCCGTGACGTAGGAAGTGGTGAAGGAAGTAGCAAAAGCAGTCCGGACTATGGGAACTGTTTGTGACGATTATATTAAGGTATCTGCAATCCTAAAATCCAAGGGGAAGGGAGGAAAACAGGTCCGCGACGTAGGAAGTGGTCAAGGAAGTGGTCAAGGTGAGCTGTCCGGTGTGTGGGAAATGTTTATGACGATTAAATTAAGGTATATGGAATCCTAAAATGCTATTGGAACGGAAGGAAACAGATCCGCGGCGTAGTAAGTGGTGATTTAAATAGTAAAGGCGAGCTGTTTGGGGTATGGGATCTGTGTTTGACCATTAGATTAAGGTATTTGCAATCCTATGATGCTATTAGAGGGAAGGAAACAGGTCCGTGACGTAGGAAGTGGTGAAGGAAGTAGCAAAAGCAGTCCGGACTATGGGAACTGTTTGTGACGTTATATTAAGGTATCTGCAATCCTAAAATCCAAGGCAGGGGCGGACTGGGTACTCTATTAGGGCGTAAACCTTGACCAGCCCGAAGGCGCCAACCGGGGGGTATGGAATACCCCCCTGTACAGAGGGGGGTCCGGGGGTCCTCCCCCGGGAAATAGTTTAAAAATTATACCTGTAAACTCGCATTTTTAGGCAATCTAGAGGCATTAACAGTGGAAAATCAGAAATCTGATAACTGACACTATTGGTCAATGTTTGGTTTACAAAATTTAGACTATTTACCCACACGACTTGGTGCTATTCTGACAGTAAATATCCTAACAAAAATAAAAATACAAATGATTTTCTTAGGTTCTTTCGTATTATATTTGTGTATTTTCTTTATTTTTCCCTTGCATGACTTGGCTGCATGCATACAATATAAATCATTTGCATCCTGTTTACAACCTGAACTTGCAACTGTTGTATTTTTTGGCACTGTAAATAACAGAAGTTATATATTTTAGATTTCTATGAAATTATTTTAACACAAACAATATGCTTTCACTGTGAACAAAACCAATTTATTGACTTAACCTTTTTTAGCATTACATTAAGTCAAAACTGTAACCCTAAAGTAGGCCTACCTAACGTATTTCTACAAACGAAATAGCCTAGAGAGAACTACGAAGGTATTTTGAGCTGGCTATCTGTAAGCAAAGTAGGAAAGTTGACCAAATTAGTGCCATAGTGCATATTGAAATAATTAATTAATAGGCGGTAGCCACATACGGTATTAAAATAATGTGTACTGTTTAACCTTTACTGTGTAATGGTTAAGTTAACAAATACACTGTCACTAAATCTAATTTAAATTTTGTAAAAGTAGTGATTCTACAATACTGCTTTCGTTCATGTTTCCTGTGTAGGTAAATAATATAAAAATAAATTGAAGCTTTTGACACAGAGACACAAATCAGACACTCACTAAAGAGAGACACATTTTAATTGGCAGCTCACACTTTTTATTTATTTATTAAATGCACGGCAAACGCCATTTTACAAGAGAGTTGAGTTGACATTGATAAAAATTAAATGTGACTTAAAGTGAAATAGTTATAGTGTGAGCAATAATTAAATATTATAACAAATATGAATAATATTAAATTATCTTGACTAGTTGTTTACCACAGACGACATCGTGACATCGACCGATGTCGGATGCAGTCGCAGTGCAGTTTTTTTCGGGTTCGGCGTAAAATGACGTGGGAAGAGGACAGCTGTTTTTAAGTACCTCAGACCACAGAGTAAAGTCAGAGTAAAGTGCCTTCCACTCGGAGTAGGCCTACACCATTGACTATACTCAATGCCTACACGTACGAGAGAGAAGAGCTGCTTTGCTCTCGCTTGTCGACAGTGTCTATTCAGGTCTCACACCCGACTTTATGTTTTGCTATTCACTGCTGAAACTTTTACTCTAAGTTTTTCCTCTTGCTTTCTAAAAACACATCTCGTCTCATTTTTAAAAAATTTTTATGAATTTTTCCTTTAACGAGGGCGCAAATATTGGAATGTTGAGAAGGCGTATCGGCCCACCAGCCGGTGGGCCGGCGGGCCAGTCCGCCCCTGGGGGAAGGGAGGAAAACAGGTCCGCGACGTAGGAAGGGTTGAAGGGGTGCAGTCAAGGCGAGCTGTCCGGAGTGTGGAATCTGTTTTTGACGATTAGATTAAGGTATCTACAATCCTAAAATGCTATGGGAAGGGAGGAAAACAGGTCCGTGATGTAGGAAGTGGTGAAGGAAGTAGTCAAGGCGAGCTGTCCGGAGTGTGGGATCTGTTTATGACCAATAGATTAAGGTATTTGCGATCCTATGATTCTATGGGAAGGGAGGGGAACAGGTCCCTGACGTAGGAAGTGGCGAAGGAAGTAGTAAAGGCGAGCAGTCCGGACTGTGAGAACTGGTTGTGACGATTAGATTAAGGTATCTGCAATCCAAAAATGCTATGGGAAGGGAGGAAAACTGGCCCGCGACGTAGGAAGTGGTGAAGGGTGTAGTCAAGGCGAGCTGTCCGGATTGTGGAAACTGCTTATGACGATTAGATTAAGGTATCTACAATCTTAAAATTCTATGGGAAGGGAGGAAAACAGGTTCGCGATGTAGGAAGGAAGAAGTCAAGGCGAGCTGTCCGGAGTGTGGGAACTGTTTATGACGATTAGATTAAGGTATCTGCAATCCTAAAATGCTACGGGAAGAGAGGGAAACAGGTCCAAGAAGTAGGAAGTGGTGAAGGAAGTAGTCAATGCGAGCTGTCCGGAGTGTGGGAACTGTTTCTGACGATTAGATTAGGGTATCTACAGTCTGAAAATTCTATGGGAAGAGAGGGAAACAGGTCCGCGGCGTAAGAAGAGGTGAAGGAAGTATTAAGGTGAGCAGTGTGGAGTGTGGGAACTAAAAACAGTTTGTAGCAGTTAGAATAATGTATCTGCAATGCTGAAATGCTATGAGAAGGGATGGAAGCATCCCCACGACATAGAAAATGGTGAAAGAACAAGTAAAGGCTAGCAGTGCGGAGTGTGGGGAATGTTTGTGGCAATTAGATTAACGTATCTAAAATACTAAATTGCTATGGAAAGTGATGAAAACAGGTCCACGATGTAGGAAGTGGATTCGAAAGTAAAGTAAAGTTTGAGCGTAGTGTGAGAACCGTCTGTGGCAGTTAGATTAATGTATCTTTAATCCTAAAATGCTATGTCAAGGGAAGGAAACCGGCCCCACGACGTAGGAAGTGATGAAGTAAATAGTAAAGGCTGGTAGTGCAGTGTGGGGGGACCGTTTGGGCTGTTAGATAAATGTATCTATTGCTATGAGAAGGGAAGGAAACAGGTATATGACGTAAGAAATGGCGAAGGAAGTAGTAAGGCTTGCAGTGCAGAGTGTGGGAACTGTCTTTGGCAATTACATTAATGTATTTGCAATCCTAAAATGCTATGGGAAGAGAGGGAAACAGGTCCACGACGTAGGGGGTGGTGAAGGAAGTAGTAAAGGTGAGCAGTGTTGAGTGTGGGAATGGATTAATGTATCTGCAATGCTTAAAAAATTTAAAAACTGTTAGTTACTTTAAAATTATATAGGCATTATCAAAAATTGAAATTGGTTACCTCTAACTAAATCATCCAAACATTTGACAAAACAACCTTGGTAAGTTTGGCTAATATGTTCAGCCATTATCGAGATTTAGTGTTATAAAGAGTACATTGAAGTTGGGCCCAAAGAGCTTCGCTCAAAAATTGAATTTCAATACTGCAGAATAATTGTGAGGAAGCAGAGTTTAATTCAAACAATTATATATGTCAGTATTTTATCAACTGCTTAGATTAAGTCTTAGAATGCATGGACAAAAACATTTATTTTCAAGGCCTACTCTAGATTATTTTTGCTATATTCAGTATTATTTGCACTTGATCTAAAGGTGTTTCTTCTCATAACTTTCAATATCCAAAATCAATGTTACATTTGGTTCACGTGAATGGGACGTTTACTTGCAGTATACAAAGTTAACGGTTCATCTAGTTCATATCAATGGAATGTCTACTTGCAGTATCAAAAGTCAATGGTGCATAG